TGAAGATGATCGATTTGGTGTCTGCGGTTGCTGAAAGTATTGAAGAATTTATGCCAACCAGGGAACTTTATCTTGCCTTGCTCTGTCTGGCATGCTCGCCTTGTTTCATTGACCAAAACCAGGCAGGTTGAAACAACAGCGCAAATAAGAGTTTGAAATGTTTCTGGAGGTAGGAAGATGCAGAGGGAGCGCAGTTGTAAACCTGATCCTTGCAAACCTCTCCTAGTGACCGCAGCCCGAGGAAGGCATGAGCGGAGCTGAGGGAGAACAGGGCTCAGAGGCAGGACCACGGGAAAGAAAAGAGCTGGCCTGGTCTTGGAGCCTTGCAGACATCAAGCAAATAGGAGGATGGAAAAGTGTGAGAGTGTAGATGATAACTGCTGGTGGGAGTCTCATGTGATAAAGGATTGCATAGCTCATTTGTGGCCAGGCTCTGCAGTTATGGACTGAAAATTGGTCTTATTTGGGGGGTTTTGTACAAAAATTTGGGTTAGGATTTTCCTACATGCTTGCTGAAGTGCATTGATGGTTGTTGAAGTGCATTGATGGTTGTTGCAGTGCCCAGGAGGCCTGGTCTAGAACCAGAACGCCTTTGTGCTAGGTGGTCTAGTAAAGAAACACAGCAAGACCCTCTCTGCCCAGAGGGTTCCCTGCCTCACTGCAGAGCGAGCTGATAGCTGGTACGGGGAGCTGGGGGGGCTGTCGGTCGGGCCTGAGCATGGGGGGCATGCGGAGCATCGGCCGTGTTTCGTGTGTGGTGCAGTCCCGTGGCATCTGACTGTGTTTTCCCGGTCTCACTAGGTGCGTGTCACCCAGCCTCCCTGGGGTTGAGGCAGGGAGGGTCGGGTACCCCGTGCTGCGAGGGTCTCCTGCGTTATCTTCCGTGTCGTGACCACTTGGCCTGAGTGAGTGGGCTGGCCTCGGCTGCGCGGGCAGCATTGGTGGGTTTTCATTTGGCCTAGGTTCTCCAAAATCAAGTCTAGGTTTCCATGCAGGTATGATATCAACCGAAGAGGCTATTGCCTATTTATTGCTCGTGTGTTATTGTAATTAATATGCAGTATTGACCTTTGACAGCACACTTTGCCTCGTGGCTCCTGAACAGGAGGAAACACTCGATCAGCAGAACATGCTTTGATGTTGCCTCTTCTCCTGGGCCAACATGTCATTTGGAAAACCCTCTGGGCTTTTGGCTTCTGATTAAGCTGTCGTGACCTGTATTTCCTTGTCTTAGCTGACACCTTTAACAGCTTTAACAACCCTCCCGCCTGCCTGTGAGTTTACTTCAGGCCCTTTCGGTAGGATTTTCCCCAGATATCCCAGCACGTCTCCCAGGGCCTCCCTCAGCTGGGTCTGTCCTCACCTGGGGCCATCAGGCATGATGGTAACGTGAGTCAGTCGTGGCCGTGATGCCGATGCCAATGTGTGTCTCTTCCAGGTAAGCTCTATGCCGTGGGCGGTTACGACGGAGCGTCCCGTCAGTGCCTTAGTACCGTCGAGCAGTATAACCCAGCCACCAACGAATGGACCTACGTAGCCGACATGAGCACTCGGCGCAGCGGGGCAGGTACTGGCTCCAAGACGTGTTCTTAAGCGTGGATGATCGCTGGGTTCTCCTCTGCTCACGGAAAGGAAGGAGAAGTGTTTTGGCATTGCTGGGCTGGCAAGTGCAACCTGTTATTTCCCCTTCCTTCCCATGAGGGGAAAAAAGTAATTGCTTGGAAGCTCTCAGCAGCTCTCCTGACTTAGTTAAAATCTGCCAAATTGAAATTAATTTCTGGATTAATGGAATAATGCTCAGTGTTTCTAAGTAGCCTCGCTAACAGATGCGTCTCACTTGTGAGCAGAGAGTTATCTTTCCAAATCGCCAGCTGCAGGCTCAGCCTGGGGCTGGAGAGCCAAGCTGCGCCTCCGCTCCCCTATCATTTGGGGGCTGCCAGATGGATTTGCCTTTTGGATCTTCGCTCCAAGCGTCCAGTGGGTGCTTTGCAGCACAAAGCACATCTGCACTGGGGGATGTGCAGGCCAAGTCAAGGTAACAAAATTCAGCTCAGATCGCCCCTGCTAAGCTAGTTTTTAGCGTACCTTCTGCTGGCAAGAGTGGGTGATCTGGAGGATTAGAGGAGAGGACGCGTAAAAAGGATTGTATGCCAGGCTTGGTGATTCCTAACTTACTACGTGACACTTGGCCAGGTAGGCACTTGTCCTCTCTGGGGCCATTCCTCTCTGAAAGGGGTAAAATCTCTTGCCCACTGCATTTAAAATCAGATGAAAAGGAAAGTTCCAGCATTGGTCCTGTTCTCAGTGCGGGCAGCGGGTCCGCCCTGATGTCGAGCCGCACAGTTCTCGCTTTCCCATGGCCAAAGGGCACTTGCCCAGAGGCCGCCGAGCCCGGGGGCTGCCCTTTGCCGGGGGCTGAAACGGCCCTGCCGGCTCAGCTGCGGTGGGAATTCCCTCCTGAGCTGGGCAGCGAGCCCGTTCTCTGCACATGCCTGTCTGTCCTCACTTTAATACCTTTTCTGTAGCTCAGGTGAGGCGAATGTGGTCATGCTCCCTTGGTTTGAATTCAGTTGAAGAGATTTTTAGCATCTGCTTGACGCTTACACCTAGCCCAGCATGACCTCCTAGGAGAACAGAATGAGTATCTCGTGGTGCTGACAGCACGTTGGAGCTCGTGCCTGTAGTGAGATGGATTTTAGGGAATTATTCTTTGTTTGAAACACTCTGCTCTGAGCACTGCTTTGCAATTACATCTCCCCGTGGCAAGGCCGGTGTTAGGAATGCTCTTGCTTGCCTGCCAAATAGCCTTGCGATTTTCCGTGCCCAACCTGAAAGCTGAGCTCCTCAAGTTCTGGTTGTCACCCAGGCACCCCTCCAGCATGCACCGGGAGGAGACTGCCCAGTGCGCTCATCCCAAGTGCAGCCGCAGCGCGGTCTGGCTATCGTCCAGCTCCATAAACGAAGCCGTGCCCAGAGCTGCTGGCATTGCCGTCCCGATGCTGACATCTAGCGGAGGTGAGGACGGTGGCCCCAAGTCCCTGGGGTCACCCCAGTCCAGCAGTGGGGCTGTGTGGATGTGCGGGTGCTGGCCATCCTGGGTTTGCTGGGCTTCCCCCTCCTGGCAGGGATGTCCCGTCCGTGTGTGCCCGGCATCGCCGCACAGGGAGGCAGTTTTAGGGGGAGAAGCCTTAGAGTCTTTCTGACTCTTTCACTCTCCTACTTGCTTAAATCAGTTTACCAATTAAATTATTTCTTAAAAGTGTAAAATTTTTGCCAACAGCTGTGTATAGTCAAGTGCCAAGGTGCTGCAAACCCGGGCTGCTGGGCTTAGACATGGTAGGCTTTCCTCACCAGTTAAATGAGTTCCCATTCCCCAGTCAACTGGGAGGCACCCGCTTTGGGGCCAGGATGTATACTGGGACGTGTTCTGCTCTTCTTAGACGGTGCGCGTTGGAATACCTCAACCAGACTGAGAATTTCACCCAGCAGGGTGGGTATTTATGGCAGTTAGAGATCGATTACCAGAGTTCTCCAGAGATGAACCGTGAATCCCAGTGTCATGCTGGGATTTCAGCAGCTCTTGGTGCAGCGGGAGATGGCTGGTCAAAGCCAACCCAGCAGCAGCAAGCTAAGAAGATCCAGAGAAGAGAGAGGTGATGGTGGTAGGCTTGTGGCAGCATTCCTCTCCCCCAAACAGTGGTGCCCCTGCTGGGGTTTTGATTCATCAGTTGGTCTCAGTTAGGTGCTGGCCCCTTTTTGGGTGAGGGAGGAGCACTAATGCTCAGATGGTTTCCCTCCCCACCTCATGCTGCTGTCCCGCAGGTGGAGCACGGTGGCTGCTGTGGTCCGTGCTCCTGCTGACCATGGCCAGACTCGGAGCAATGGGACACATTGTATTTTTGGGATGTGACAAATCACCAGGAGATGTTCCCGTGGCACAGGAGCTGCCGAGCCTGGATGGTCCCTGCTCCCAGCTCTTGTGCTCTCCTTTCCCTGTGCACATGGCAAACGGGAAAGATATGGGCACAGGGACCAACCTGAAGACCCATCGGTTTCACGCTGGCAGGGCCCCGCTCTTCCCTGCGCTCGCCTTTCCAGCTCCCTGCCTTTCCCTCAATATTCAGCATGAGTCCATCCTCAGGGCATGGGGGCCGTCCTGCTGGTTAAAATGATTGCCCGTGGTTGACATGATGCAGTTCAGATCTATGTTTCTGTTTTACTAACTTCCCACCTTGTTAATTTTAATAGAGGCCTTTGAACCTATTAACGAAGATATGTTGCTGGAAGTTTTAACTCTCACGGATTGGTGAACACTTCAATTAATTTTCTTAATATTAGGCAGCAGCACCCTCAGATCCCTGTAATTCCCAGAGGTTGAGCCAGGGGCCTGCGTAAGTGGCCTTGGAGGCACCTTGTGTGTGCCAAGTGCTGCTGCCGTGTTTGGGGGCAGGAGTGGGGGGGGAGAGGAACCCAGTGGCAGGCTCAATGACTGGAGCCAGCAAGTTGTTGAGAAGAGGAAGAGCGCCCAAGGGATGAAGCCACGTGGCACAAAGGCAGCAGGAAAAGCAAAAGCAAAGCTCCTGGAAGTGGGAATCATGCTGAAAAAAGCAAAGGGCCCCATGGCAGAAAAGACTGGGCAGATAGGGATGAGGTGGGGTGGGATGCAGTGGAGAGGGAGGTAAAGGGAAGAGAAGTCAAGTTGGTCCAAAGAGATCAAATAAAGGCAGAGGAATGTTGTGGGACTAGACTATTGATCTCAGGTAGACCTGAGAAGGGGCACAGCCCTGAAAGGTGGGATGTCTGCCCGGCGTTACTGTGCAGGTCTGCTGCAGTGCCACGTGGTGGTTGGGTGGAGAGTCGACCATGTCCCAGGTGAGCTTGAGGCCTATGTGGCCCGTGTTTTGGGAATGCCTTGGAGAGGCAAGGCAATACCCAGTAGAAGACCCAGGGATGTGCGACCCTTTTCCCTGTACGTTTGGCTAACGCTGGGCTCTGTTGGGCAGGTGTCGGTGTTCTCAGCGGGCTGCTGTACGCTACCGGGGGCCACGATGGGCCCTTAGTGAGGAAGAGTGTGGAAGTCTACGATCCAGGAACCAACACCTGGAAGCAAGTAGCAGACATGAATATGTGTAGAAGAAATGCAGGTAACCACAAGAAGCCTTCCTGTGGTGGTTGG